CACTTTATATGATGACTTATATAATATGATGTGGCATTTTATGATTTTTTTTTTTTTTAAGATCATTACAATCAGAAGAAGGAATCCATGAAATTCGAAATTACAACAATATGATATTTTATAATTTAGTTTTCACTTGATAATACATTTTAAATATCCTTTTAATATAGTACCTTATCTAAAAAATTAAATTTATTATTTTAATTAGTTATTTATATATTTTAAGTAATTTTAATTAATATTTTTATATATTTTTAGATTTTAAAAAAAATCCTATATCAGACTATGATATATCACAACACGATACAACAATGAGAAGCATATCCTTGACCACAGAAGATTTCTAAGTTATGGGAGCATGCCCATCAAAAAGACAAGGTCATGGGAGCTATTTGAACTGGGCCATAGGACCTCTATCAAACATGGTACACGTAGAGGATAACAGACCTTCAAGCTGTTAGAGCTGGGCCGGGTCATGGGAAGGGGTTGATAAACCCAAGGTATGAGCCTGGTAAGGTTTTTTGGAGAGCTGAACTTTTTTTTGTAGGCCTTGGTTGTCTGGACCTAACCCAATTAATTTCATATTTGGTATAAATTCAACATTTTGATTTCCAAATAAATAGAATCATTTCGGATAAAGTACAAGTATATGCTGTTGCTTATTCTAGAAACGTAGAAATATTCAATTTGCCGAAAGTATAAATTATCAAAGAAAGTTTATTTGTTGGCCGACAAATATCAAAGAAAGTTGAAACATCCATAAAAAAGGAAAAAATGGAAGCCAAGGAAGCAGCAATACAAATGAGGAAAAAAAAAGAAACGGAAAGAGAAGAATGAAAGGAACCAGCATGAGAAAGGGATCAAGAGGGAAGTGGAGGGCCTATTACATGTGTCGGTTGGACATTTTTGCCTTAAAGAAAGTTTCTCAAACTTTAGCAAGAGGTTGAGATTGTAAGTTAATGATTTCATATTTATACTTGAAGACAATGAACAAAAATTGGGTTGAAAGGAATGTTGGGTGTTAAAATATAAGTAGAGAGAATTTTATATTAAAAGTGGAGAGTGAAAAGTAAGTAATTTATATATGTGTAGCCTTATAAATCTAATAGAAAAGTAACTTATATATGTATAAACTTATAAATTTAATAGACTAGTCTTTTGAGTTCAAGATAGTATTTTCATATGTTTAGCTTTTATTTAAGTGTTATTGTGAATTCAGTTACTTAACCTAATAACGTGAGTGGTGCTTTGGACTCCCAACAGTAGTATTAGAGTTAAAAGTTCAAACTCGAGGTAATAGTTGTGAGCCTGATGCCATAAGAGTAGTGAGTGCCTCCACTCTAATTAGGTGTTGAAAGGTAGACAATTCCTTTGCCTAATTAGAGTGTCAAAATGAGTGTATACCTCAAGTAAGTGCACATGAGAAAGTATGGTGTCAAGACATGAGGATACCGTCACCTAAATATAGTGCGTGAGCTTGAGAATGGACGGTGTTACTCTCACGAAGAACTACATAGATCACAAGCAAATGCAAAGGTGTCCTCCCTCCACCCACTAAAGTGTACTAGTATAAGATGTTGAAGACTCACAAGTGAATAGGGAAGATTGTTAAGTATTTACATGTGTTAAGTATTTACACGTGAGTAAAGAGAATCTTTTATAAAAAATAAGGAGTGAATAGTAAATTATTTATATATGTAAATATTCATAAACTTAGTGGATTAATAGTTTTTTGAGTTTAAAATATATTTTCACATGTTGAGCCATTGTTTGAGTATTGTTACCTTTCCAATTGCTCAACCTAACAATGTGATTAGTGCCTTAAACTTCCAATAAGGAGTTTATAAGTTAACCAAATTGAAAATTTCAATTCGATAGGCATACGTGTCCTTTAAATCTAAACCAAACAATATTTCAAAATAAATTTGGGTTAATTGAAATATTTCAATTCGGTTTGGTTCAATACTTAAATTAATTAAATTAGTTTTAAAATTTTTTAAATAAAATTTTGGTAGATTAAATTCTTCTTTCCTCTTATCTTTTGATTTTTTTTTTCACAAAAATAATATAATTACAATACATGTAGGTTTATAAATTTATAATCTTACATGACATTATATCAAATTAAATATAACATGACATTAAATGAAATATGACATGATATTGAATGGATAGATATATATATATAATACTACAAGTGAATTTTTAAATAAAAAATTAATATATAACGATACATCATGTTATAAACTTATAATATCATATGATATTATAATTATAACATTTCTAATTTTAATATTAGTGTTTAATAATCATATTTTTAAAGAAAATAAAAGAAAAAATACCGACAATTATGTAATTTATTGCAAAAAATACACTAAAATAATCTCATATTTACTTAAAAATAACCCTCTTATTTTTTAATAGAAGTTTAACAAAACAACAAACACTTTTCTCTATTAGGATATTATATTTGAAAAAAATAAAATTTTATTTTATTTGAATTTTGTTAACTTTTTTTTTTTATGTTAGTTGCACAATAAGAGATAATTCTCTTACATCCGTTATCTCATTTTACTTGCATATTATGCGATTCGAACTCAAAATTTTTTTTTAAAAAATTATCACTGAATTATTTAAGTTATTAGTTTGTTAACCCAATTTTTGTTTTTTCTATTACATTATCTGAATCAAAAGAATTTTATAAAATTTTGAAATTATCCATATTAAACGACTATTTGAGTCAAACAAATTGAACTGAAGTAATAGGAAGAACCATCCATATGGCTTAATTCATCATTATAAATTAAAAAATAAATAAAATTACGTACTAAATTCTTTGTTCCTACGCGTAGGTGTTGCGTGTGAATTCTGGCGAAGATTGGGATTTAAATGGGTCCCCAAGTCCCAAGTGTCGGTGATGCTGGAAAACGCCATCTGATTGAACTAACGATTTTAGTTTAAGGTTTAATTTTAATCACGTGAAACTTAAACCAAGCAAAAGAATATAAAACAAATATATTATATATGAGAAATATAGTGACCTTTTAACTAACAATAATAATAGTTATTTTTTTCTTTATATTACAAGTTTAAATAAATTATTTCATCTATTTATTTTTAATAGATTCAATTTATTTTTAAAATTTTTTAGATATAAAATTTAAATACAAATTTAACAATTTATATTAACAAAAATTAAAATTTTTTTCTTTCCATATAAAATTCTTGCTAAATACTTTATTTGATTGAAAATTTTAAATTTTTATTTGAATTCTATATTTAAAAAATCAAAAAATTGAATTAAATTTATTAAAAATAAATAAATAAGTATATTTTTACTTATATTATTTTTTAAAAAAATAATGATAGAGAAAAACTTCTATTAATAAAATGAATAATTTAAAGAGGTTATAAACAAAAATTTTACACAATACATTTATATAAAATCTCAATCATTTATTTTTTCATTTTTAATAATTGAGATTTATCATATTTTTTAGATAAAAATAATTATTTTTTATAAATA